CCATGAGTGGCAGGTGGCTGAATTTTACGGAGACTTGCCACGGTCTCCAACCCTCTTCCTTTCTCATCCGTGCTTGGGACCGGCAACGGCGGAGTTCATAAATTTTATTAATATTTAATAATATTAGTAACGTATTTAGTAACGTAACGTATTTAATAACATGAGCTGAGCTTTTTAGGGCACATGGCGAACTGTTTAGGTCATAATTACTGAAAGAAATAGCTTCTGTCATGCTTCGTCAGATACGCGATGGCGTGCGTTAGTCGCCGCTTCCATTTCATTAGGTAAACGCTCATATAAACTTTCAGTTTATTTCAGGCACTCTGCTGACCCTTAATGTGCTATAAACTGCATATTTTTCATATTATTTTTGATTCCCACAGCCGTTCATAATCACCATTAGACGTCACTCCGTCACTCGGGAATCGTGCGCTTTTGAGACGGTTATGAGCTTTAATCACGACGGTCGGGAACAGCCGATTTCGACGCTGTAACCATTACCGACTGAGTAGTTTCGTTCCTGCTTTGATTGTGAGCTGGTACAGAGCGATGTGTTCTGCTGCTGAACACTTTGATTTCCATTAATCCGACTTACTTGATGAACGGATTAGGATTAGCTAGATTTCTCATATCTTGAAAATAAATGTAAGCTGATTTTAGCACGTTATCCTCGAGTCTAGTCTTCCGCGTGCACAGGTTTCAAATGTTTATAGCTCCGTTATTATGGGGTCAGCACAGAATCGTAACTTTCGCTATGGTAGCAACTGCAAAAATATACGACTCGTGTAATGTGAATGGTATTATAAATGAGTCGACCGTGCTTGTCAACGATATCACGCGAAGAATCGACTGCCTTTGTCGATGTCCGTCAGGTAATAAGGCGTTTATTCTTTGTAATTTAGTTCCTGAATCATGAGTGCAGTTTAAGTTAGCAGATGCTGCTTCTTATTTGGCTGAATGAGATGACAGCTCAACTAACATCTTGCCAGTATCGATAGAGCAAAATTTTGCGACATTTGTATAAACAGAAACTGCTACTCAAAGTTCCTTTCGTACTATCGTTCGAACCTTTGATGATACAGAGGAATGAAGTAAGAATTTTTTTAATACACTTATCTCCAGTCATGAGTGCCTCAATCTGAAGTACCATTACTAACGATCAACCATGACGATTTGATTTAATCTGTTGTTTAAGCTCTATTAAATTCTGATGACAATGGAAAAGCAACAACAACCTGCACACTGCTTAGAACTTTGATGGAGCCATGTTTCATGTTTACTTTGAGCGACTGCTTTTGGTGATGTCCGATATCTTGACTTTGAAACAGATGAACTGAAGCACCGTTAAAGCACACACTAATAACCACGGGGATCAGTAGTTAGCTCGGTGGGTGCGGCACGTAGCATTTGATAATTTCTTACGGAAGGGTACATATTCACAGAATCTACTTAACTCTGTTTCGTTGGAGTAACTGTCGTCTGCTGTGTAAGCATCTTTGGCGATGCTGAACTGTAAGTTAAAACTTTCAGTCTTTATCAGTACCTTCCTCATTGTTCATTGTCAATGATTTGAGTATTCTAGGCCTCGATTTTCTCACTCTCGCATGATAGAGTTAAACAATGTGGATAGTTCTTGTGATTTTGCCTGCGTATTGGAAGGCATAAATGGGAAGTTGGTCCCCTCCTGCTGTAACTATCTGTGGGACAGCTAGCGGTGCTTGTCCAACCTTAAATTATGTTCTGAGGCTTTGCGATGATACCTTAAAATATTGAAAATAAGAATACTTTTTTTACTGTACACTACCAGTTTAATTAAACTACAGTGATATGCAATATATTTCGTTTTGTTCCACATTTTCGAGAACAAATTAAGCTTTTTTGCCTTTCGGATGGGAAGATGGGACAGGGCAAATATTTTCGTTAGCATTGTTTTATTTTATTGTATGCAGCCACGAGGGGATGGGACATATTTCAGTGAAGAAACACAGCTATTGTACGTTAGTCAATATCGGGTGAATTTTGTAGACTTGCCAATAGCATAGCCGAGCGTATTTGATGTTCGTGTCACTTTGTGTATCCGTTGGATAGGTAGTTTTATTCCGGTTGTGAGACAGATATATTACAAAATGTTCGTCGATGGCAAGAGTTAAAACTACGATATTGCAAATATGCGAATATGTCAATATTTTTTGGCTTCTAGTAATTGAACAACATTCCTTCAACGAGGTTACGCGTAACTGATCTCACACAGCGCTGTACTTAATCGTTTAAGGACCTGCTGTTTGGATTGCGCATGTAGAGTTCTTTTCTTCGTCGCATAAGTATGAACTTATAGGTAGTCGGCCTTTAACCTCCGTTCTTGGCCCAGTTCAATGTTTTCGAAGAGCACAGTTGACGAAGTCAACAAATTCTGTTGTGATTAATCTGGCTGACCTGCGAGGACCATGAAGTCTGTTCTCTCACTCTCGAAATCACAGTGGCAAAGTCGGTCAGTGACCGTTCGACTCCGACGAGCGAAGTCAGCCTTTTGTGGACAAGTTCAGTTCCTAGTTGAAGAGGCAACACGATTTAGTTTCCAGAAGTTGCTGAATCGTCAAGAGTCCGAGTATGAGAGCCAGTTGCGCGCAAAGATCTATTCGATTCGTTCCGTAGCTTTGAGGAGATCGTCAGAAAGTTTGAAATCGACTTTCGCCAGCACGCATTAGCTGCGCTTATTTACATTTCATTAAGTCCGCTTTTGATGGTCGTTCGTAAAGGGCCACGATTGGGCAGATTCTTTGCTTGTTGCAAGTGGTCATACTTTAGCTGGTAAACAAAACCCGTTTAAAGAATAGATACTAAATGAATAGAGTTTAACTAATGAAAACAAGGAAATAAAGGCACATCAGCGTAATGAAGACTGGCTTGGTTTGGTTCATGCAAAAGTTATGCAGTGATGAAAGACCAAAACTGCAAAATACTGGTGAGCGATAAATGCGTATAAACCCGACATGCCTTCTTTTAGACAAACATTTATCCAGTTGCTTACCGATGCCTATGAAACATAAGTTGGACGAATGCTTAACCGCTATTAAGCCGTTTCAGGTTTTTTTCGCCTAACTAATAGCAGCATTGCCAATGTCGATTGACACTTTCCCATCCTTAGCTGTTGCTTCTTCTTCTTCAGAGGAAACCCTAGTTTCTTTTCAGCTGTCGTCTTTGGCATTCCTCATCTGGAAAGCATTTTCGGAATGAAGAGCTGTTTTAGAACTCATCCGTTGGCGCCGGCTGTGTTAGATTGAACCTTAGAAGATCCTCTACCGTAATATTCATTGCCTAACATACGTCAGTTCGAAATGTGCTGACGAGTTTGAGTTCTCCGTGGAATCTATGCTTTATTTATCAGAGTTGTGCGAGGCTCAATCAAACTGCGATTTCTCGCAATGTTTGCTGCGCTATGCTTGCTTGGAGGTGGGGTACGAACTTGGTTGAACCGAATTTCATTCGGTTCGCGCAGGTATGCAGTGCGGCCTATTACTCTTCTTCATGACTCTCGTACAGCCAGATAGGCAGATACACTAATTTAGCATTGTATCACGTGTGACGTCCGTGTACGACGTAAGTTAACTTTCTGTGCGATTCCGCAAAGCATTGCGTTCATGAAATTGGAGTCAAGATGAAAAACATCATATTACGGATCTAAATGGATATAGCTTTTAATTGAGCTAGGAAACATCCAAACTTAAGTGGTGAAATAGCAATTTCTAAGAGATCAAGTTTATATTTGACACGAGGCAGTAAAAATTTTTCGTTTTACTTAAAAACCAAGAATTCGACCTCACTTAGAACTTTATGGGGGTGCAACGTTAGAAAAATAGATATGAGGCACTGTTATTGAGTAGACAGCTGCCATTCTGTTTGAGGTATCCAGCCCTGGATACTGCATGTGGTCTCATAACCATTGTTTACCCTATTATGATAGTCAGATATGTAAACTTTCCTTTATAATAAGTTTCATTTTATCTTGTTGGCTGTCAATGATATTAATTTCACTTTATCAAAGTTATGCCAAGTCCGTGAAGGGGAGAGCATTAAGAGGAAGTCTACATTTCACAGGCGCTAAAAGTTCCATTTTATTTTTTGTATCTTAGGTTGCTCCGGAGTAAAATGGGTTGTTTTCTTCAAACTGTTATTCATGCAACAGGCCATTTTAGGACATTCAGCGTACGTATTTCTGTCGTCTTTGTTGCCTATCTGGATATCGCCTGAACTGAAGGTTCCCTTTTAGTTCTCGCTATATTGGAGCCTCTGCTGATAGAAATGTTTTAATGCTTATGTTAGATACGTCTAGTCACATTCGCCACGTCACTGACAGCTGCAATGCAAATGATAAAATGAGTTAATGGGCTGGAAAGTGCGAGAATTGCACCGACGTCCTTGCTTATAGCCATGTGATCCACCTCCATCACTTTGGAAACATTTCATGAAAAGTGCAACCGTACTTATAGAATGTAGGCGATGTGATCACATAGACACGAACCTGATACCTTTAAAGGGGTACTGCTGACTTGACAGTTAACCTGTGCGATGAGTGATATATGTTCACAGATCCGAATGTTTGACACCAAGAGATCGGACCTCCAGTCGATTAACATCAGCAAGGAGAAGATCCGTATTGCCTGCTGGAACGTGTGAACGTTAAAAGGGGGACAGCAAGCTGGATGATGTCATCCGTGCAGCTGAACTATACTACATCGGCTTCCTTGTCATCTCAGAAACTCACATCTTTGTCTAAGGATATGATCGTCTGGAAACGGGATGGCAGCTTTACTGGTAGAGGAACCAGAACTTCAATTGCAAGTCAGGAACGGCAGTGTTGCCGTCGCCACGTGCAGTGAAAGCCTTGGTCACCGTCGGGTATACGACCAATGGGATTCATGTTTGTCTGCTATCTTGCAACCAAGCATGTGAAGATCAATGTTTTGGTCGTTTACGCCCCCACCAGTGTCGCACAAGATCAAAAGAGGGACGAGTTTTAGGCATGTTTACATGCAGTTGTTGGTTCTCTTCCAGCTGGTACCATGCGTTGGGCCAACGTGGTTCTGGGACGCTGCATGACAGTGGTCGATGGCTGTTAGGCTTTTGCTCCACGCACGGTCTCGTTAGTCGGCAGTACCCTGTTTCCTCACCGTCAAATCCATCTGTTGATGCGGACTGCGCCAGGTGACGGCTTCAGGAGCCAGCTGGACCATACGGTCAAAAGGAAGTGGTGAAGCGTCCTACACGACACATGGCACGATGCGAAGCTGACACTGGCTCATGACGGTCGCAAAGCTTCGCCTCTAATTGTGGCCATGTCCGGGCAAACAGCCGGAATAGGGAGAACACCCGATTCGACACCAACAAGTTAAAAGATCCAGAAATTTGCAAGGCGTTCCAAGAGGAGTTCAACAGCAGAGTCGCCGCTGTAAAGGACATGACCTGTCAAGACCTAGAGTTACTGTACCATAAGCTTAAACAGGGTATTGCCGCTACCACAGCAGATACTCTAAGTCTGGGCAAAAAGACGAAGCACTCGCGATTCTCGGCAGAAATCATCACTCTTCGTCAAAGAAGAAATGCTACGAAGCAGGAGTTCTTACAGAATCCTGAAGAGTCGAAGAGGCGAGAGTGTCAGCATTTCGTGAAGGCAATCAACAAGAGTTACCGTTATAAGTAAGCTACACTGGATGAAAGCGCAGGACCTGAAACAGGCGGCTTTGAAGAAGGGCTGGAAGACAGAGACAGACAAGTCAATACCGTCACCAGTGGCGGCAAACATAAGCTCCTAACTTGCCTGATTTGCAGCGGGTCCACTATTCCCCTTCAAGATTCAGACAGCCATCAGAGAAAAGGGTCGAAATGCTCCTAAATCAGCCCGCTCCAGTTGATGACCTGGAAATAGGGTTCAAAGACCGGGAACAACTGAAAATTGACTGCTCGTAACATCAGAAGATGAAATCCGAAATGCCATATGTCTTTGTCGAAGTTCGAATTCCTATGGGCACGATAGGGTTGGTGCGGAACTGCCCATGCGAAGCCCAAGTGAAATGGGTTTATCTGATTTTTGATAGGATCTGGCGGAAGTCAGAAACCCCTGAGAACTGGAAGCAAGACGTGATGATTCCCATATTCAACTTGGATATCGTTCTGACTAAATGAACTACCGCATCACGTTTCTGTCTGTGATGGAGAAGGTATTCGGGCAAATCCTCCTACGAAGAGTGAGGAACACAGTTGAGGATTCCCTTCGATCAAGGATTTCGAACTGGACTCTCATATACAGATAACATCGCCGCACTGAAGGAAATAGAACAGAGAAGGAGTTTCCAGCTCCCCTGCCATGCGGCATTCCTCAGCTTCTGAGCAGCTATCGACCAGACCCCGTCAGACCTTGTGGCGCATGCTGCGACACTATGGAGTACCGCTAAAGATTATCGGTCTGCTGAAAGGACTATACGAAGGTGCCAAAGGCGCCATCAGAGCAGAAAAGTCGTTTTCAGACTGGTTTAACATTGACAGTGGAGTGCGCCAAGGAGAGGTGCTTTCACCTTTATTATTCAACATCGTGATGGATTATGTGATGCGGAGGAGCGTCGTTCCCAACAGCGAGAGATTTACTATCAGACAACGACTCAGCCGAAGGTACCCAGCCGTGCTCATAACATGACCTGACTGACCTCGAGTACGATGACGACATTGTACTGCTCAGCGACTCCGCCAGTGGTTCAGTGGCTTGCTAGCACTAGCTCTCGAGTATGCAAGGTGATCTCGATGGTAGGTCTAGAAGTTAACCCCACCAAAACTAAGATCTTGCATGCACCCTATTCGATAACGACCTAAAGATTCACTGGCGTGGAGTGGCCATCGAGTAGGTCGAATACTTAAAGTCCCTCTGCTCTTTACTGGCAGAGATGGAAGCTGCGATTTTGAAACAGGGCGGCCCTTAAGTATGACGTCTGTGAACTTCGAGCGACTTTCTTGTAGCAAGATCGATCTATCCGGACAGCAATTAAGATCGCCATACTGACAACTGCCGTCTTCTTAATCCTTATGTACAGCCTTGAAGCATCAACCCTGTTAAAGCGCCATGAAAAAATGTTGGATACTTTACAGCAGCGTTGTCTGCAGAGCATTTTGTAAGTACCATAGTTCCATCAAATAAAGAATAAAATGATTTTGTGGACGGCCGGCCTGAAAATC